GCATATGCAAAGTTCTTCTACTAATATGTGCAAACCAACAAAAGACAATCAGTTTTTTCATTTGAGAGTGCAACTTTGAATTTTAAAGGTTTAATTAAGTTTGAGGATTTTTCTCTCATTTCTAGAGCATGAAAATGACTGGAATAAAATGGGCTGAAATGAGTGTCCTTCCTTAGTGTGAATTCATTAGACGTCCATGGACTGAACAGTAGTGTTATTTCTCTGTAGTCCTAAGTGGATTAATGGGATACTCTACAGGAAATGGGAATCAATTAATTCCCTTTACAGACAGAAACTGGAGTTAGAGGTGATACAGTATATGAGCTCAGTAGCATGCATTTGAGGTAATGATGCCAGACTAGAAGCAATTTGCCAAGCATATTCAAGCGAAATGTAAGGCACTCAGAAGCTCACCAGGCCAGTCTTATAAACAGAGTGAGAAGTCAAAACAGATAAAGCTTTTTGGCATAGGAAGATTAGTCCAATGATTGAGAGAGCAGAAATAATTCAATAGGCAAATCACAGGTTCTACATGAAATATGAATCATTTCTGCCCATCTGATACCCCAACCTCTGAAAAAGATAATCCAAATAATTGCATAAAACTAAATAAGTTGTTAAGATAGAGGTTACAAAGAAAATCAGGATCAGTCACAAAAGAAAAATTCCCTGTTCCTTTGCCCATTTCATATTCACACATGTGGCTGTACTATGCAAAATTAAAATATTTGAATATTAGCCAACGTTTGTAGAGTATTTTTTAAGTGCTCAGCAGTATTTTAATTGGTTCATGTGAAATAATGTATTTAAACTTTGACACAAATCAAATGAGTTGGTGTCGCTGCAATTTTCTATTTTATGAATGGGGAAACAAAGTTCATGAAGTAACAGGCTCGAAGGTCACATAGAAAGTGATGAAGTCAGAACTAAGCCCCACTCGGCTGATTCCAGAGCTCATGTGTATAACCTGATGCTTTATGGTGTTGCCTATATTTTGATCATTCAAGTCATACATACATCCTCTAGCTGAGCAGAAAGGTATTGTACTTCTTTGTAGAAAATTACTTAATAATAGAGTATAGAATCACAAAAGAGGTAGGAGATTATACAGAAATCTTCAATTTTATTATTTGAATGCCAGGGAAATATAATCTGTAGTGTTACAGAATTTGGTAGTGGTTAAGAAGCCAGTGCTTTTTTTCATTGAAGTGGTTAGTTTGCATGAATTGTATAGAAATAAATTACCCTGATGCACTTTCATTACTACTTCCCACTATTAAGCATGTTGGCACGATGGGCTAAAACAGCTTAGGTTTTATTATAGTCCTACCCTTTAGAAGATTCTAAACTGGTGAGGCTTTGGAGGATTCCAGAAAGATGAATTCAAAGGTTTCTGGGATGCCAACGAAAAGTAAAATTAGATACAGGAAGGTAGAGATATTGGTCTGAAGCTACATAGCCAGTTACTTTAACATCTGGACTAGAACCCCATTTATTCTATAGGATATCCTATAGATATAAAATCTGTTTTCAGAAGTCTTCTCTATTTCACGCATGAAGATACTATTTTTTTCTGTAAATTATGTTGAAAGAATTGTGTTGGTGGATTTTCAGATCTCATTGATAGCCCCTGAAGTTTTATAGCTTGTAGATTTGGGATCTGTAGATTTTCTGTGTCTTGATAACTCTGGTAGTAAGACGGATGTGCAGCTAACTTGTCTCTAGGAAAGACTTTCTGTGCTAGATTTTAACCGGAAAGCTTTTCAGGACCTAGAGATGAATATATTTGAGTGTCACGTACACTCTTGGAATTGCTGCTAGATGTTTGTCTACTACATTGAATAATAAATGGGAAAGTCTGTTGGAGAATAGTAAAGAGATAGATGCTGTGACATGCTTGACTTGCTGATGTAAATAGACTGATAGAGACCATATATACAAAGAAATATATTTAGTCTAGATTTGCTTATAATGGAATTTTAAAACATTCTTAAAATTCTGCTTAGGTTGACACTGATGAGCAAATAGATTCTGATCCCTTTGTAGAGAAGTCATTCAGGCTCAAGTCTAGTCTTATTGAAACACAGTTAACTGATTTTGGTTTTGGTGTTGATGAAGTACTCATATGAAATATGTTGGCAAGCTAAAGGAATGTAGTTGCCTTCCATACACAAAAAAATTACTGTTGCAATTTACTTTCAAAAGTATTACATCTGTCCAAACTCAACAATGCTAATGTTTATCACCAGAAAATACACAAAATACACTTAATAAGTGTCATTGGTTAGAATGATATTAAATGGAGTTTTTTTTTATTTGAATTGAAGTAGACTTCATACCTGCTATTGTATTATAGTAATTAAATTTTACATTTTTCTGTGATTGTTAAAATGTTTATTTTCTAGCATGAGAACAGACTCACTAGTTTTATAGTAATATAAAAGGATCTAAAGTTCAGGGCCCGCTTATGAGTGAGTATATGTAGTATTCAGATCTTTGTTTCTGTGATAAATCACTGAGTATTATAGACTCTAATTCCATCCAAGTTGCTGCAAAGTTCATAATTTTGTTTTTCTTATGGTTGCATAATATGCCATCATGTAAATGTACCACATTTTCTTTATCCAATGAGCATTACTATAAGAAAGGATTTATATTGGGACATTGACAAAGATGGTGGCACATAACACCAATAAGGGTACCCACACTTTACCTGTATGATGACCACTTCTGTACCTAACCCTGAATTGTACCCCGTATCTTTAAAATAAAAAATAAAAGGAAAAAAGCCCTAAACATTTCTGACAAGTTAATTTCACTTGCAATATCTCTTCTAAAACCTTAAATTAATTAATATATAAATATGTGTCCCTGTTTCCCAATATTAATTTTATCTTTAGTTAAAAGGTGTTTTGAAGATTCGTGACATGTGATAAGGGGTTTGGTAGGTTTATAAATTTCTTTTATTTTTTAGTATTGATGGCTTGGAAGCAAGTTGAATTACATATTTACATTTTTGGAAATAGAATTTTATAATCAAGATTTAATCAATGCAAGGATGATATTGCTTCCCTGGTGCTGCTGTCTATTTGAATCACTAAATTTTTCTGAATGCTCAGAGGGAGCAGTTCTTCAATTAGGGACTTATGCACCTTATTAATTAACTACTTTGCAATAGATATTATCCATTGAACTGTGTATTTTCCACTGAACTGTAAAGTTTGCTTGTTATAGAAGAGGATTGCATAATCTTCCCATTTTCTAACCTATGTCGTCCTTCCTTGATTGTCCCTTGTATCTGAGTATAAATAGATTAAACAAATACCCAAAAATACTGCTAACTTTAATGCTAATGTATATTGGGCTTCAGTTACAGCAAGTGTTGCTAAACAAGTGAATTTAATTTGGAGATTTGGTAAATAATACTTTTATATGTTACTGTGCCTTATTTGCATAATGTATACTTTGGACAAAATGACTTGTGTAGCATTTGCTCTCAATCAGAGCCAAGACTTTACCAAATAGCTGGCATGATATTTTATCTATAAGATCTTAATGTAGTGAATGTACTTAACATTCTTTTCTGTCTTTTGATGGAAATTTCATGCTACCTATAGCAAACATGTGATTCAAAGATGGTTGCCATTTCAAATATGAAATGGAAAAGAAATCTACTAGAATGAGATTTCCAAAATAAATCAGTTGAAAGAGTTGACCAAAAGGGAATTCACAGAAGGACTGTCATATGACTGAATGTATAAAGAGAGTTGAAGTCTGCCTTCCAAAATTGCAAAGGCTCTGTAATAAACACACTGCCCCCTGCAAGGTTAAAGCCTTGGAAGGTTCTTGAATTTAAACAAAAAGCAATTCACTGTAGCCAGCTGGTGCATCGATAAGAGAAATGTCAGCAAATTCCCTCAACCACTGAAGAGATGAATGAGGGTTGAGGGGCTGTAGGATAAATATAAAAGAAATGCACAAAGCTTCTCAAGGAGAGATTTGCAGTGGACTAGTACATCTTTAGACTTACAAGAATAATGATCATCTGTTGTACATCACGATTTAAGAATGAAATACAGAAATCAAATATCCTTTAATAATGTTCATCAGATTATTAATATTATAAATGCATTATTAAGGCCTTTCTCATCCATAAGAGCTTGTGTAATTCTGTAACACAAATTCCTTCAATAAAGATGAAAATGATGAATAAAATATTCAAATAGCTAACTTTCTGAATATTTGTATAAAGATATTTTCATAAAAATAGTAGACTTTTGTGTTGGGTTTCAAATTCTGCAAATTTCTGACTTATAGTCTCATTGTAACTGCATTGCTCTTTTAGGAAATTGACTTCAGAATGGGGAGGAAACAATAGGTTGAAACATTGACATGTCTCATTTCCTATATCAACTCCATTTCATTTAAAATTTTACTTATTTAGGTAACTCCAATATGGAGGGCTCTCTTTGCAACTGCAAGTGGTCATATTTGATTTTTCATTGCATTTTTACCATTTCTCCCATGTAGGATTTGAATTTTTTATTTAGTGTGATTAATGCTCTAAGTAGAATATTTGCCAATCACATTCAAGGCCTTCACAATAAAGCAAGAGATGGATAATATGTGACTTCCTAAAAAGAAAACCGTGCTTGAAGAAGATTTTATAGCTAGCAAAACTAAAATAAGCAAATCCAGTGACCCATGGTTTAGACCTCTGCTTAACAAATATACACAAGCATATTCTTGCCTTATTAGTGTCATATAACAAAAATATTCTTGTTGAGCATTTCAAAGTGCAGAAATATTGTTAATGTGTAAAGATTCACTCGAGTTTCTTAACAATATTTACTTCTGTACAGGAGTTGTTAGAACCAGGATCTGGAGTGTTGAATTTCTTAAAAATGCTCAATTTTTGAAAAAGAAGAATATATTAAAATATAGATTGTGACATTAAAAGTTAATTTGAAAATAATGTCTTAAATGATTTTTTATGCCAGGTGTTCCAAAGTTCCCAAAAGAAAAAATTGACCCTCTTGAAGTGGAGGAGGGAGATCCAATTGTCCTCCCATGCAACCCTCCCAAAGGCCTCCCACCTTTACACATTTATTGGATGAATATTGGTAAGTAATACTCTGCTCCATTAATAGGAAAGACTTCTGATTTCATCTTATAAATAATATAATGAAATGAAAGATAAAATATTAATATAAAATTACAGATGTGGAGTCAAATAGATTTATAAAATTAGATCACTTAATATCTGCCCCAGTCCTAAATATGCACTGAATTTCATATGTAAAAACAGTAGAAAACCATAAATTGTATCTGTTGATTTTATCATATTTAAAAAGAGAAGAGTCTAGTGATATGATAAAATATGCCTATAAAGAAACTACTATTTATATTCCATACAGTGTGTTTACCTTTGAAATATAATCCCTGTTAAAGCTGATGATGGCATGTGTTTGTGTTATTAGTTTAATATTTCTATTTTAGTAATGGTCTATCTACTAAATACAATAAATCACCAAAAAATTAGTATTAACCATTATGCTTAATTTTCTAGAATGCTTTTCTGATTCTTTATTTGAAATCTAATTTTTTATAAAATCATCTTCTAACATGTGCCTTCGCAGTGCTCCCAAATGTTTTCTCATTGTGACACACACACATGCACGCGCGCGTGCGCGTGCGCGCACACACACACACACACACACACACACACACAATAGTGCTATTTGTACAGCACTCAGAAGAAAGCAAATGAAACTACTCTTGGGTACAAAAAAATCTTCCAGACTTCAGTTCCTCAAGAACCATCCAGGCTGCCAGAATGGGGAGTTTAATATCACAGATATAACTTTTGAAGAGCTTTGCTTTAAAGAAATATGATTCTAAGAAATAAAAGTAATAAGTAGGTCATTATTCAAATTGACCAGTTCCAGTTAAGCCAATGCAGACTCACAGCAGAGGTAGAGACTTGGATGGCAAAGAGAGTTCACCATTGTTTGTCCACCAGCAGACTTCTTTGACTAATAGTGAAGAAATATGCTCCCAGGGGTTTTTTTGTTACTCGGTTTTGATTTTTTGCTCATTCATTGCTCCTGTAGTAATACGAGACTCACTAGGCATAAGAAGAGCGGATAAATCAAATCAAATGAAATAATATAAAATAAAACGAAAAAGGGAGATGAGGCACAATGAGGGAAAACTGCCCTTTGCAATGACAAGACATTTCTTTTCAGAGTTAGAACACATTGAGCAAGATGAACGAGTATACATGAGCCAAAAGGGAGATCTGTACTTCGCAAATGTGGAAGAAAAAGACAGTCGGAATGATTACTGTTGCTTTGCTGCATTTCCAAGATTAAGGACTATTGTACAGAAAATGCCAATGAAACTAACAGTTAACAGTTGTAAGTCCAAATAATTTATCGTTCCATTGCAAATACTGAATGCAAATGTGTCTATAATTTCATTCTGGCTGAAGCCATTTAAAGCTGGGTTGATATTTTCCACCATTGTTTAGTTCAACTCTAGAGACTTCATCGAGATGAAAGAGACATCTGCAGCTGCAGATCCACAGTAGCTCTGTCCTTCGCAGCCAAAAAATCAAATCTCAATTCACAGGACAAATGCATTTCAGTTGCGTCTGCATGATCTAGTCATTTTCAGTGGGTGAAATACAAAATGAAATTCCAGAGTTTTCTAACCAAGTCCTAGGCATTGATTCATTATGATCTTTGGTAAACCAGCAAACTGAAAATGGAGGAGAAAAATAACAGAGTCAAAATTTTAAAAAATTAGTATTACATTTTTTATCACATCAAGCTTTTTTGTTTGTCCTTCCCAAATTAGCAAAGTTATTTGAATTGCTACTCTTCCCTACTTGATTCTGCAGATGCCAGTCTGGGTCCCCAATTGGGAAAAGTAATTAATGGGAAGAAGAACCATAAGATTCAAAGGGAAGAGATAATCCCCAACAGTTCTCTGACTAAATAATTGGCCCTGGTATAGTTGAAAATTGGCATTATCATTTCATTGTCTAATTTGGTCCATGATTTTTTTTTTCATTTTTATGTGTGGGCACACCCTGCCAGGGCTTCACTATAACATTTTTTTTAGCATCCTCAGTTCTCTTTAATGGTGTTATAGCTTGAATTCTCTCCATCTGGACTCATCTATGGTAATTCAAGATTAAGTTTATTGTAAATTCTTTTCTGAATAAAATTGTATCTCCAAAGATAATGTTCTAGTGAAGCATGGTTCTATCTCATTTTGTAATTTTCCTAAGAGAAAAATATGATATTTCATTATTTATTGATATCAGCATCCACCATTATGTTTGTGGTTTTTTCTTTCACTTTTTTTATTTCAGTAAAGCATGCTAATGACTCAAGTTCATCCACAGAAATTGGTTCCAAGGGTAAGTTGAACACGTGTGGAGTGTTGGCATTTATTTTTACCTTAAGTAGCTAACTATAATCTCAAAATTAAAAATTTTCCTTTAATGCCCTCATATGTTGATTAAAATAACAACATTTCACTTAAGAAAAACTTCTTAGCATTAAAGGTTCTATTTCCCCTCTTCCCTCTTTAACATAAACAAAGGTAGTGATCTTTAGAAATACATAATTCTGTAAGTATAATGGTATGTTTATAATATAATATACTTAATATATGGGTAGATAGATATATTAAATGGAGTTCTTATTTCAGATTTCCCAACATGTCTTTTATGGTATATAAGGTTGATAGTTTTACACAAAGAAAAAAATAAAAGAAACAGTTAAATGTCAAGAGAAGTAGTAAAAACACCAGGCTTTAGAAAGTTAAATGGATGTTTTACTTGCAAGCCTTCTTGGAATGTTTGCTTATTTTTTATTTATTGAGTTGGGGGACTGCCTTTGTTGACCAGACTGAAATGCAGTGGCATAATCACGGTTCACAGTAGCCTTAACCTCCTGGGATCTGGCGATCCTCCTGCCTCCACCTCTGTAGTAGAAAGACTATGTATGTGCATCACCACCCAGCTAATTTGTTGACATTTTTGTAGAGACAGAGTGTCACTATGTTGCCTAGGCTGATCTCAAACTCCTGAGTTTAAGTGATTTTCCTACCTTAGCTTTTCAAAGTGCTGGGATAACAGGTGTAAAACCATCATGCCTGGCCATTCTTGGAATACTTAATATGCAACTGTACATTGTGACTCTCTGAGGAAGAATACAGTTGTAATATTTTCCAAGATCATTTATTTATCTATAAACCTTTTTATTTAATTCTTTTTCCTAGGGAATATCTACCAGAACTTGTGATTTATGGAAGATGCTTGAGTAAACCTGAATTATATAGTAGTTTTCTGTAGTGAGGAGTCATTTACATGAATGTAACAAATATTCTTTATAACATGTGTACCAGTAATTTGACATAAATATCTCATATACTGGTAGCATCAGTGGAGTGGATGAAGGTTCTTCTTGGAGAACTCTCAGTTTTAAGGTGGACTTACTCATTCCCAACATCATTTCTTTAGATCAGCAATTCAAACGTATATATATATTGCTGGATCTTCATACCACTCAATAAAAATAATTGTACATAGTACACATTCAACAATTACTTTTCAATAAACACTTGTAAGGAAGTATGTAGTCCTGCTCACTGCTTCAAGTTTCTTTCATTTCTCTCTTCTGATAATAAAATGTCAGCTATTTATTTTCCTTCTATATCATGTCAAGTCACATTGACACTGGATGGGAAAAAAATGATGTTAACATTTGGAAGTGGAATACAAATTTGCAATGAAAATAGAAGTCTCCTAATTTTCCATTGTATTTTAAAACTATTCTTTAAAAAAAATAAGAGATAAGTCGGGCTCAGTGGCTCAGCCTGTAATCCCACACCTTTGGGAGGCTGAGGTGAGTGTATTGCCTGAGCCCGCGGGTTCGAGACCCGCCTGGGCAGGCGAGATCTCATCTCTACAATAAATCAAAAAATTAGCCGGGCATGGTAGTGCGCGCCTGTAATTCTGGTTACTCGGAAGGCTGAGGCGGAAGGATCGCTGGAGCCCAGCAGGTCGAGGCTGCGGTGGCCGGGAGCGGCCACTGCACTCCAGTCTGGGCAACAGAGTGAGACTCCAACTCAAAAAAAAAAAAAAAAAAAACCAAAAAAATAAGAGATAGAACACTTTAATCTACAGTTAGTAAGAATGTTTGTTAATCATTTCCTAAAACAATGTCTGTCTTTAAGGACTTAAGACTAAAAGTAGAGTTACCTAAATAGCTTGATGAATTTGTATATGCCCAATGTCTACCACAAGTTTTTTCAATCAAATTTTCTGGGTACAGAGCCCAGAAAGCTGTGTTTTTTGACAAGAACCTCATCAAATACATGGGTACATTAAATTAAAGAAAAACATACAGCCATCAAGCATTACCAAGTATGATTAATGTATGGAATATACAGTCATAGTCTGCCAATTAAGTTTAAGAATTCCATCAAGAAATTATCTATCTTGAGTAATATTTGAACTTCTGAATTGGAGCCGTGATATAAAGCATAACCTTTCTAAAACATGGTGTTCCACTTTGTTATCACATCTAAGGGATAATCCACACTTCTTGGTAAGAGAGGAGTCTAAATGGAAATATATTGAAATGTGAGTATACACGTACACACATACAGAGAGAATGAGAGAGAGATTGAGAGAGAGAGAGAGAGAGAGAGAGAGAGAGAGAGAGAGAGAAAGCAATGCATTTATGAAAGATTTAGTGCCACAGAATGTTAACTGTCTTAGCTGGGAAAACCTTGACTTTACTTTTCTATTTTGTAGCAAATTCAATCAAGCAAAGAAAACCCAGACTGCTGTTGCCTCCTATGGAGAGTGGCAGTGAGTCTTCAATGATCATCCGCAAAGGGGAAACCCTGCTGCTTGAGTGTTTTGCTGAAGGCCTGTGAGTAACCTGACTCCTGCTCATGTGTGAATGAACTCTTTGTCCATTAGTTTGTAAAGAATAAGACATCAATTAAGAATGTACTTATATGCACATTTCAGAACTTATTATTTTTAATTTTGTTACTAAATTTCTGGAGAATGTAATTTGTTCTTTAGACTTCAGACAGTAACTGAGATTGACAAACAATTAAAGCTCTCCATCAGTTGGTGATATTGTGAAAAGAGGTGACAATGACATGTTCTTCTTTTCTAAGTCTAATGCCATTCTTAGAGCCTGAGGTTGTTAGTAGTCAGCCTGTTACTATGATACCTGGTTTTTGTCTCTCTGCTATATGTCTTGCCCCACTTCTGTTTTGTTATGCAACTAGCTCTGCCCTTTATGCTGAATCCAAGGAGCCTAATTTCTCTATATTTAACCTTGCTGTTCTTTGAACACAAAAAAAGTCCAGACTGAATTTAAGAGAGTTTCACATCAAAACCTAATTAAGTGAACTTTCTTCATACCTGGAAAAGCAATGTGCTTTTCCAAATCCCCCAAGAAAGTCCTAAAGATGATCTCACTTGTTCACCTCTTGAAATTGTTACATTTATGAATTATCATAATGCCAAGTAAACAGAGACCATCTTATTTAATATTTGGACATCCTAGGTCTCCTAATTTTACCACTATCCATCCTGACTTATGACCCTTCCCCTACCATTGTGACTACCATGGGAAATGCATGCTATCTTCTGGCACCTGAGTTTACTCATTTATATCATAATCTTTTTGTAAGCTACGGGCTTTTGGGGTCTCGTTAGTAGACTTGGATTTGAAATCCTTAAATTTGTATTCATTTGTAATTCAATGTGTATTCAGAATGACAATTTGGTCATGAAAGAAATGAGAAATTTTTAATAATTTTACAGCTCCTAAGCTTTGTAAATTTTTATTTTCATCCAGTGAAAATATCCAGGTAACTTAAAAATTGCCAATGTGTATTGACATAAATTAGTTAGAAGTACTGTGACCTGGCCTCTATTCCAGAAGTTTGGTCTCTGGTTTATTTTAGAAGATGAAATATTCATGTTCAGTGTGAGTCATGATGATTACCAACTACTCTATTAGTCATATTCCTATATGTTTACAGTGGTAGAAATTAAATATTTTCAGGTTTATCACTCTTTTGGGTTAATTCTTTGTGCAAGGCAAATCTTTCAGTAATTTTTTAACTTTTCCACAAATGCTATCATTGACCTCTTTGGTTGGCTAACAGTTGTACAGTTTGTTTTCAAAATAATACAAATTCTCCCATGTGCTTTTTAGAAAGTGAAATGACAAGAAGCAGCATATACAAGAGAATAGTAATAAATGTGTTGTCTTTGGAACATGAAAATTCCCAATGCACTGTCTTAAGAGTTATCACCTGAAATGATTTCTTCTTACTTGTATTGGGTTTGTGTTGGGTAATCTGATCTGGTCCTCTTTCAGATAAACATAATACTTTATTTTAAAAGATTTTAAAAATACTTTAAAAAACTTTTTCTGGCTGGGCTTAGTGGCTCAGCCTGTAATCCCAGCACTTTGGGAGGCCGAGGCGAGTGGATTGCCTGCACACATGGGTTCAAGACCAGCCCAGGCAACTTGGTGAGAACTTGTCTCTACAATAAATCAAAAATTAGCCAGACATGATAGCGTGTACCTGTAGTTCTGGCTACTTGGAAGGCTGAGGAGGAAGGATCGCCTGAGCCCAGCAGGTCGACTCTGGGGTAGCCGTAAGTGTGCCACTGCACTCCAGCCTCAGCAACAAAGTGAGACTCCAACTCAAAAAAAAAAAAAAAAAAGAATAAGAATAAGAATTTTTAAGCCATGAACTTCCTACAGTAACAAAAATAATTATAGTTAAGACATTGTACTATGGTTTTGTGTTAAGCACTGTGTTTTGTACTTTACACCTATTAGCTCATTTTATCCTCACCACATTTCATGACTATTGTTATTACCGTTTGCAGATTAGGGAAATAAAACCCGGTGAGTTGAATGAATTCACTTCTCCTATCTTAGCGTAAGGTAAGGCTGGGACTCCATCCTGTCTGTTCCCAGAACCCAAAATTACCTCTAAATATCACTTATTTCGATATAACATTTGAACAAAATGAACTGTTTGGTTCAGTTAAAGGAGGTAGAATAACAAGCAAGTAGAGAATAGTATTGCCTCTGACTCTAAAGAAGTTTCCAGTAAATGATTACTAATAATGAAAATGTTGATAATATCAAGTAAAACAGGATACCTTTCAAAGGGATATCCATATTGAGGGGCTTGGGTTCTATAAATTCAATGGGTAAGGAAGAAATTAAAAATAATTTAAATAATATTTTAAATCTCATTCAGAGACAAAGGTGTTTACTCCCCAGGAGAGGTGCAGGTAGGGAGTCATACCATCAGTGAAAAGAGCACATTTGTGTACTAGTTCATACTCTCTCCCTGTGAAATGATGGTAGGCTCCTCTGCATTGTTGAGATTGGTTTTTCTCTGTTGTATAAATTCATGAGTTTATGCTAGGTATGAGTCTATTGCAAAGTGCTACTTTATAAACAAGAAAAGTATACAAAATAAAGTTGGCCAGAAAAGGACCTAAACAAAAATTTGAGATTACAAGACAGTGTATTTTTGTGTACAATAAAAGGGATTAAACAATATATTTTCCCACAAAACATCTTTGTTCAAATGCTGTTAGTAAATGTTCCTTAAACCTTAAAAAAAAATAGGAAGAAAGAAAGATAGAAAGACAAATTGGTAAGAGTATAGCTAGAAATTCTTGCTGTAGTATAGACCTGTCCAAAGAAAAATTGTGTCTCATGTTCACCTGATACATATAGATAATCATTTTATTTTATTGTTACAAGGAAAAGGTTTTAGAGAATAAGACCAGTTTTTAAAGATGGAATTGGGAGGAAGATCTTGCAGAAAGTAAGATGCTTGCACTATTAAAGCATGGACTCATGAAAAACTCCTGTTTGGAGGAACTGAAGTCCCAGAGCAGCCTGCAACTTGGCAAATTGCCAGTTGACAGATGGAGTGAAAAGCAAGCAGTTAGGAGACTTGGGTTATGCATCCTGTTAGGTGGTATGCTCAGGAAGCCAACAGCTAATCTCAAAGCTGCCTGTATGAGCATCATTGCTATATCCTACACAAGTGTGCTATGTTTTTTAAGCCTGGTGAAATATAAGATAATTGTTCCAGATCTGTAAAACAGATGACTATTTGAACCTGGAAAGAAGGAGGAAAAGAGTAAATGTGACTAGATTAAAGGGACTTTATCTTTACCTCCAGTATTTTTTGCATAATAACTGAATAATTTTAACCATTACCTGGCCATGCAAGCAATTTGAGAACATTAACACAATAATTTGTGTGAATTGATCAATTATTAACTAGTAACTAATGGGTAGCTAGACTACAAGCATATACTCTTTTTTTTTTTTTTTTTTTTTTTTTGAGTTGGAGTCTCACTCTGTCGCCCAGACTGGAGTGCAGTGGCTGCTCCCGGCTACCACAGCCTCGACCTGCTGGGCTCCAGCGATCCTTCCGAGTAGCCGGAATTACAGGCATGCACTACCACTCCCGGCTGACTTTTTGATTTATTGTAGAGATGAGGTCTCGCTGCCCAGGCGGTTCTCGAACCCGCGGGCTCAGGCAATCCACTCACCTCAGCCTCCCAAAGGCGCGGGATTACAGGCTGAGCCACCGAACCCGGCACGAGCATATATTCTAAGAATATACAGTTCAGAAGGACATAGATTGAAAAACATAAAATAATAGAACACGTTGATGAAAAACATAAGATTAGAGTAGACAAATTTAAGTATCTAATGTGTCATTTATTACTCCAATGATCTAAAGCAGATTAATTTCTTGAAGTTTCACATTCTTTACTATAAAATGATGACAATAATGCTCACTCTTAGGACATACTCAATAACTTACAGATATTGTTGATAATAAAAATAAACATGGAGAGAAAAACTCAGCATCAGTACAATTAGCAAAATTAGGGTTTTATTCTACTCACCTAGCCCAACTGGAAAGGAGAAAAAACAACTATTCGTCAATTAGAGTCAGAAGGTACCACTTCTCCACTTGTCTTATTTTCTTTTTTCTTTCTTTCTTTATTTTTTATTTTTTTATTTTTTGAGTCGGAGTCTCACTCTGTCGCCCGGACTGGAGTGCAGTGGCCGCTCCCGGCCACCACAGCCTCGACCTGCTGGGCTCCGGCGATCCTTCCGCCTCAGCCTTCCAAGGAGCTGGAACTACAGGCGCGCGCTACCACACCCGGCTGATTTTTGATTTATTGTGGAGATGAGGTCTCGCCAAGTTGCCCAGGCAGGTCTCGAACCCGGGGCTCAGGCAATCCACTCACCTCAGCCTCCCAAAGGCGCGGGATTACAGGCTGAGCCACCGAGCCCGGCTCTTATTTTCTTAAGGAGGAATTTTTCTTAAACCAAGCCAGCTTGATTCCTTAGCTCTGTTTTCCTTCTTGCTAAGGTGGAAAAAGTTATCCTGTCAGTGTGTGAAAAATTGTCACTCTGGTTTTCTTTTGTGTTTGTTTTATTTTCTTTTTTGTTGGTTTTGATTGGATGATCTAATCTCCCCAAACAAGGGAGATTTGGTTTATCCCTCTACTTTATTCCCCACAAAGGTGAGAAAGCAACCTGGGCAATAGTTCCTGCTGCAGACTCCAGTTTGCCCTAGAAGGGAGTGTTCATCAGTCTGGCCAACATATTTGGCTTTCGTACATGAGCTACATCCTCCAATATCTACCTTATGGGATTAAAGGAGAAACCGAAGTTTCCTTCTGCTAACTATTTGGGTCCTACTTTACCACTGTTACCACTGCCCCCCTCAAACCATCAGCAGTGGCAAAATAACTTATAATATTATTTTTATGGTCTCCAATTACTTATCCTCCATCCAGCTATACCTAGTCAGAACTTACATGTAGTTAGCCCCCTTAATAGAGGGAGACAAAGATTTCCAAGACAGTAGATTAATAAAGTCAATGAAAGAGACTTGCTCCAAGGCCTATGTTTACCATTGATGGTGGCATGCGGGACTGTCCATTGATAAGGCTGATGTGATTCCATGAAATTGAGCACATACATAGAAGCAACTTGATAAAAGATGTGTCTTGAAGGTTCATTTATATTTTATTTTCTACTTTCAAAAATGCTTATTTATTTGTTTGCAGACCAACTCCACAGGTAGATTGGAACAAAATGGGTGGTGACTTGCCAAAGGGAAGAGAAACAAAAGAAAATTATGGCAAGACTTTGAAGATAGAGAATGTCTCCTACCCGGACAAAGGAAATTATCGCTGCACAGCCAGCAATTTCTTGGGAACAGCCACTCATGATTTTCATGTTATAGTAGAAGGTACACTGATCATGTTGGTTTTTTTTTTTTACTTAAAAAAGTAAATTCATACATGTAGTTGGTCTTTGCCTCTAAGTCTTTAATGTTAAAGCAGCTAAACAGTTTTAACTTTTAATTATAGTGTGAGCACTGAATTATATTACACTTCTATTAATCAGGTTTGCTATTTACGTCCTAAAAAACACAAGGAAGTGACAAATGACAAGAAGAGATCTCATATTAGGGATTAAGCACAGATAATTTACATAATTTGTTCAAATCATTTTTAAACCTCGTCTCTTCTATATCATCATATTATGAGAAATGACTTTTATTGTAATATACATATGACACTGCATAATATTAAATCATGATAGAAGCAGTAAGGATTACAATGAGAAAATGTATTAAAACGGGTCTGGATGAATGTTTGGACTTTGCTTCCTAACTTTATAATTAACTGTCTGTGTCTGTGGTCACTTTATGTCACCTTCTGTACTTCAATTTATTTACCACAGAAATGAGGGAGTCAGACACATTGTTGTCTTAGCTCTTTTCAAGTAACTTTTTTTCTTAATATCTTGGGTTCAGGTGATATTCATTATGTTATTTATAGGAAAAAAGAATAGACTTCATGCTCTAAAGAGTAATTCTCAGTCAAAAAATGCAAATAAACATTATACTCAAGTCATCTTCTCTCTGTAAATCCAAGCATTTTAATCAACCAATGTTTTACTATCATTTACTGTATCAATAGGAATAAGTAGTCAATCATGACATTCTTTGTAAAAGGGGACAGCCACAAAATATAGATATTGGGGCTGTGCCTGGTTGGCAGATATGAAGGTTATCTAGTCCTCCTCCAAATTTGATTGATGGAGACTATTTTCTGTGAATCTGATCACATCGCTTCCTTCTATCTAGATTTAGTTGACTGTATTGATCAAATTAATGGAATGATTACTGCATTTGTACTTATTTAGTGCAGTGTAAGTTTAACTATTGAAAGGGGTGTCTCTTTCAGGCTACCACTTAGTGAACTAGTGCTCTAGGGCACCCATTAATATTCCAATAAAATTCACATCTTAAAGCTTCAGTTTGCACAAGGAACATGTAAGTAATGGCCTATTGTTTTAATTAATGGAAAAAAATGACTCAGAAACACATTCCCCTCACAAGTAAATGTTAAGATAATTGATTTAGTTGAGTCCCTGTTTCTAAGCCCTCTCTGTAATGTGTATTATTACTTAAGGTAAGAAGAATAGAAGACCAAAGGGGAGAATTATATTTTCTTTGACTTAAAAAAGCAAAACTTACATAAAAGAAAGCCCAATATTATGCAGTAACGTAGACATCTGCCAACTTTGTTATATTCGTCTGACATTAAATGATTCACAAAGAAATTCAGAGAGGAAGAGTTTGAAAGATTTATTTTATCTATGTATTTTTTAAGCATTTGATGCTTCTGTGTAATTTGACTACATCATGCAATGGGGGTATTCTTCTATAATCCCCTCACCACCTTCCCAGCACACATACATACTCAGGGACCAGACATTTCTAATTGTTAGCTTCTTTTACTCCAAGTTGCTGACTGTTAGAAATCCTTCCAGATGGCTGGAACATTGCTACGGTAGCTGAATATTTTAACAATCTGGCCATGGTTTTCTTGACTGTAAGGCTGAAGCTTTCAAAAGAAATTGCAAGAGTTGCAGAAAAAAAAAATCAAAGACATCAAATTAATTATGCCACTTAAAATGTTGACTATAGGACTCCAAAGTAATATATGTTTCCTGAATAAATTGCTCTTACTATTCATAAAACATCTACTAGCATATTGAGATGTAAATAATATTTTTATGAGGAACATTTAATCCTTTCTCTTTAGTGTGAAACTACTAAAGGTACATTCAGTTGTATGTTGTAGAAGTTTCTCTTTACTCGTACACGTCAAAAGCAAATTGAGCTTAAGAAATCTTTATTATTTTTTTTCTAGAGTGTGAAAGCAGTAAATATAACCTTCATTAATCATCTGGATGGATGAGTTCATGTTTACTCAATTTTCTTCCGTCTTCCCGCGCCCTCTCCTTTTCCTTTCTTATCTCTTTTTTAGAAACCCAAATTAAATAACAAGGGTCAGTCATATGGGAAAATAACAATGCTACTGTGTACTTTGAAAACCTACTCTATTCTGAAAATATCCATTGTGCTTAAGTAAAAGCATGTATTTTATTGTATTCTCTCTAAATGTGATATTTCT